AATAAGGAGAAAACTAAATTAAAACTCTCCCTAGTGAGAGAAATTAAATACGAAGGAATAAGATTCAGTAGGGTAGGGTTGAGCTTTGGAAGGCCACAAACTATTGTAATGTAATATCTAAGCTTTTCTGCTCCCTGAGAACCAATCTGGGCCCCCACCGAGAAGGTAAGTCCTAGTATATACTTTTCACTAGATGTTTTAATTATCTCTCTACTTGTCTCCTCCATTAGAATAGGATCACCTTGAAAACAAAGACTTTTATCTTCATATCCCCAGAGCCTAGAACTATGTCTGGCTCCAAGGACACTTCAGATGCCTGAACAAATGAGTGAAAGGATGAATGAATGTTAATATTAGCATGCAGTCACTGGTTCCAAGGGAAGAGGTTTCTAAGAGAGCTTTGAGAATCATCCACCTTGCTACTCCAAGGTCTAGGTCCCTTCTCCAAAGTGATGCAAACCCAATCTGGCTCATTCAAAGTGGGAGAATAAGACCTGGGCTGCCACTGTGGGAACCAACAAACCTAGAACACCCTCCCTTCACATTCCCAACAGTAGTTGAGTCAGCTTCAGGCTGCACTTCCAAAACCACCTGCCTTCTCGGGCTACAGCCCAACTGGCATGTGGAAAGCCTTGAAGCTTAGGATGAGGGTGATAACTGCCAGTTATGCTCAGACCATTTTGGAGGTGGAAGTACTCCAAGACGGTCTCTCCTCGAGGCTGCTCCAGCTTGGAAAGCTTAGAAAGGAGCAACTGGAGTGTTTAACTAGAACAGAAACTTTCTGAAAAGGAAAAACGTACAGGACCACCAGTAAGTTGCAAAGCAAACCTAACCAGATGTTAATGATATCATAAGCAGGTTTACAACTATTAGTGAAAGACACGAAAGGGGGCAAGCCTACTTGTTTGTTATGCTCAGCTCTAGTTAAGAAAATTAATGGGACCACAGAACAGATGCAAAATTGCAGCATTACTTATCTGCAATGCTATTTTCCGGCTTCTGGAGTGCTGCCTGTTTAACAGAATGAGCACTATCTGGCTTGAATCCATAATGGCAGCTGCTTCTGTGGCCGAATAGGAGGCTTGGATTTGGGAGAGAGCCTTTGAATGCATAAATGCACAGGTCAATCTAAGTTCATTTCAACTAAAAGTAGTGGAATGCATTTCAGACTATGGCTACATGTCTTGAAGGGGGACAAGACTGAAAAAATGAACCATTTAGACCACCCAAACAGCTTCCTTACTGTTGCGTGGTCTAAGCATACCCTTATAAATTATATGGGACAGATTTGGAAGCCTCCATTTATTACTTCCCATAATTTCCCCAAATTCTCTACTGTTTTGCTTCAGGGTTCCTTCTTGGATCTTCAAACTCTCCCTTCTCCATTTATACTAGATCTAGATGCAATCAAGGCAAAACAATAGATTTTATTTCAAGCAGGTTACTTGCATCTTTGGGGATCTGGGGATTGGGTAATAGACATTGTTTTTGGAGCTTCAGACCCAGGAAGAAACCATTAGGCTTGACTTGATTTATGTTCCCGTGGTAATGAATGATAACAAATGCAAAAGCCCCTGAAGGCAGAATGGTCTCTGAATATGGGGGAGAAAAATCCCCACAATCCCAAGTGTTTCAAAAGTTTTGGTTACTGTAAAATAAAACTAAGATTGGCTTTAATCACTTCCTAAGAACGACTGTTGATAGTTAGCACTCATTGGGCCTTACTAGGTGCCACATATTATTGCTGAGGACTTCAATATATTACTTCCTCTGATCCTTAAAACAGCCATGGGAAGTAGGCATCGAATGGTCATTTATAGATGAGGAAAATGATGCTCAGAGCAGTTATTTTTCTGTTTCCCCAGACTGTCAGTTGTGAAGCCAGTTTAACGTTCTTAGTCATTTCATTCTACTGCTTCTTCTAGTCTGAGCTAGAAACAGAGTTGATTCAGACTCTCTTAAATGCCTCATTCAATACTTCAGAAAATAACTGCAACCTGTGGTCACAGACCAAATATCATGGCCTCACTCTCCTGCTGTAAGTCTTCCCCACTGGTTTCTGGGGTTGGTTCAAATGTCTTAACATGGTTTAGAAGGAATGTAATGATCTGGCATATCTTTCTACTTATCTACTACTGAGTCCTGACACATAATTGTTGCTTCAGCTACATCTGCTATTAGGATGTGCTATGCTTTCTGGCCTCCTGCTTTGCCTCATATTCTTCCTCTGATTAATTCTAGCAATAGCTCCCCAAAACTTTGAAGACTAAGGTTGTTAGAAGAATTTCCTTGAGCTCCCCAAGTACCAATGGCTACCTCCACATTCTGTTAACATTTTGTGTTTACTCCTAGAACATTCATCATGTTGTTACTTATTGATTTTCTTCTGTCTCTCCTATAAAGTGGTGACTGATTTAAGGGTAGAGATTGTGTGTTTTTAATCTAAGAACTGGCAGTCTCCAGCACAGTACCTTGCACCTCACAAACACTAAATAAATACTGATTGCATGACTGAATGAAAAATAAAGACTTGAACAACATTTGAGAATAGTTCTACCATCTCCTTGGCAGAGCAATGAAGCCAGTGTAGCTGGAATATGCTTACATTTTGAAGCAACATCTGTTAAACTCGACTTCGGTACTGCTTAGGAAACCGAGTTATACCAAGCATGGTGATAAATTTTCTGTAACTGATGAGGGAACCAGGGATGGAGAGGAATAGATAGTTAAGGATAGGAATAGAAGACTCTTGGAGTACAGAAAGTCCAATATTAGCATGAGCAATATTTCAGGGAGTGGAGAATACATGCTGGATATTACCATTGTTGAGACAAAGGATGGCAGCAATTCAAGTCACTAGCTTAGTTTCAGATTAAGCATAGTACCCAAACTCCAAAATTCCAAAATCAGTGACTGTCGTAATGATTAATAATTATTTTTCACTTATTTATATTTTGATGAAGGATCAGAACAAATGTGGGAAGAAGCATTTCAGGATGTGATAATAATAAAAATAGTCCCCAGTTATTGAACAGTGACTGTGCCAATAAACATCTCGCTCAACAAGTTACAACAGCTCCCTGAGGTCGGCATTATCAGGTGCACATTATTGAAAATGGAATCACAACTCAGACAGGTTAAGTAACTTGCCCGAACTTGCACAGCTCAAGTGTGGTCGAGCCGGACTTTAAACTCAGGTCTGATTTTAAGGCACATACTTTTCATGTCTACAAAGTCTGCCTTGAACTAATCTATACAGTATGTCTCTCACACCTATATTTACAGTCTTATTTTAGGTAGGTGCATGGTTTACAATGGAAGAATTCAGGGCCTTTTAAAGATTAAAAAAATACTTAATAAGTATGATAATTACCATAATGTTAGGCATAGGGATCATAGGGGTAAAGGTCTAAAGGGAAAAACCGAGCTGAGGGAAAGCAGCAAAAGTATTATGCAGCTCTCCAAGTGCTCAGTTGTTTCTGAAACTGCTTCCAACATGTCTGCTCAGCCTGGCTTTGAAATTGGAGTGTTGCCAGCAGTGAGCTCCAAACATATTCACCTCTGGCTTGGCTTTTTCAGTCGACAAGAAAGGTAGCTAAGATCTGCTTAGCCTGGCAAATCATGCAAACTGGAGTTCTTCACAGGGCTTTGCCTCTTCCCTAGCACAGAACCCAGAGTGATACTGGAGGCTTTATCCTTCTTTTGAAAGAAATCCCCAAAAGAAAGTACAATTGAAGCATGCTTATAAGGAGAGGAATGCAAATGTTGGTACAGAAAATCAGTTGCTTGGAGAATAATGAGTAGAAAAGAAACTTGTACATATTTTAAACTGTTGTTTATAAAATATATTTGAACGAAATCATCCTTATGATGATGTACTGATGTACCAACTTGTTTTGATTTTGAATAAGAATCATAAACACATTGCCTGACATAAACACGAACTTTAGATCTAGATTGTTTGATTACAAGTGATTCCAGAACTTGAACGATAACTCATTATTGTTTTATATGAAATTATATACAGCAGAAGCTCTCTTAACCAATCTCCAAATAATCAATTTCCTGGATTAATTGTTGCTCTCCTTTGTAAATATCTACCAGTGCCATGGAATGCTCCAGATAAATAGGTTTATCTTTCCAGTACCCCTGTGTACTTCTGCTCCTGCAACTACTTAAGCTGTCAGCTTAAAAATTGAGTCAATTACATTTATTCCCGAGCCTATTTTATGCCAGTTTTACTTATTATTGTAGCTATGTAATTTAATGAATTTTACATAACCTATGAAATATGAGTGTAGTGGTTTTATAAAAAAAAAATCAGTCTATGGCCATGCCACCCTGAACAAGCCCGATCCCATCTGATCTCGGAAGCTAAGCAGGATCGGGCCTGGTGAGTACTTGGATGGGAGACCACCTAGGAAGACTAGGGGCTGTAGGCGTAAAAAAAAAAAAAAAAAATCAAATGCTTTGGAAAGATTCAATGAGGGGGGGGGTCATTAAGCAAAAATCTACTGTTAATTATGTAGAGGAAAACCTTGAAAACATTGGGAAAAATAAAAATCTAGATGGAGTAAGTATTCAGATTGTTTTAAATTTTTTAAATATCCATCGTATTAAAATAAATAAACAAAAAAGCCCCAAACTGGAAATCATAAACTACATATTATGGGTATGGTTTTGCAAATAAATGAGTAAAAAGATTTGTAACTCTAATCAGCAGACTATTCATATGAAAAGCCTTGGCTTCACCCATAAGCTGGCAAAATATCTACATATCTCTCTCTATATCCTTCCTATAATTTCTCACATTAGCTGACTCTTTCAGTTAATGGACTTTTTTCAATGAGCTCTTAGGTTCTTAGAATCAGGTGCAAGGGCTTCTCAGAGTGTGGTCCCTGGACCACAGCGGCATTACCAGTGAGCTTACTGGACATGCAGATTCTCAGGCCCCATCTGGGGGTAGTGCCCAGGAACTGTGTTTTAACAAGCTCTTCAGGTGGTTCTGAGGCTCACTGAAGTTTGAGAAGCACTGCTCCACTGTATTCACACATTGCTGGAAGTGCTAAAAATGGATATGGCCCTTTTAGAAAGCAACATGGTGCCAGATTCATTAGGAATCATAAAATTTCCTTTTTAATCTGACTCAGCAATCCTACTTCTAGCAATATTTCCTAAGGAAATAATTCAAAAGAAGAAAAGTTGAATAAAGATATCTATGCATAAAGATATCCATGAATGTGCTATCTATAATAAACAATTAAATGTGATATAAGTAAAAAGAGAAGAATGGTAAATAAATTACAGGCAGCAAATAAAATGATAGCTATGAAGGGTTTATAAAATGGTAACATGCTTACCAAATTAAGTAAAAATGTAATATGCACTATGGTTGTAATTATGTGATGTAAATATCAAGTTGAAAATAACTTCTTCCATTGTATTAGGGTGGTACTGGGAGAGAATTTAGTTTTCCTTTTACAAATTAAATTATTTTAATACAGTTATAAAGACATTTATGTAATGAAAATATCTTAATTATATCATTTAAAAGCACCATGACTTAAAATTGATACAACACTTTCAATGCACAATTTAAAAACCTTTTTAACTAAGTAAAACTCTGAGGCAATGTCACTAGCCAGCTGCTGTATGTAAAACATCAGATCTAATATCTTTTGTGACAGATGGACAGTTAGAAAAACCAGTCTTAACAAAGGAGGCTATCGACACCTGAATTATCTTCATCTTTGCGGATTTTGAGCTTCACCAGGTCTTCACACTGCTGGAGGATCTGAACTGCATCTTCCATGGAACAGTTGTCTAGCCGAATGTTATCTATCGCGAGTAATTTATCCCCAAGTTCCAGGGTTCCAGTTCTGTTAGTAAATAAACAGCAGCACATGAGTAACGATGAGCACTTAAGCAGGCCATTTAAGAAGCATTAAGCTTAATGTAGCATTATGGTAGTCTTTAGAGGAAAAGAGGTTCTTCGACTGTTTTTAAATTAAATTTTATTGACAACCAGCTCATTTTTCCCAGTCTTATTTTGATGGCCACCGTGACATTAAAATGTGGAATATTAAAAACCTTTTTTCTTATGCTTTCTTCTATTAGACCAAGATAACACTGTAAGCTTCACTCGGGAATTCTAAGGTTCCTGGGAAGGGAGGTGAGATCCGGAGTCTACAGAGAACAGTGTCTTTATGCTTCTCTGCACTGCGTGCCACTTTTGAACCTGGGCAGTCCAGGTTCAAAAAAGGGTTGACTGAGTAAGTGTGGGAAGTCAAGGAGGGGTGGACTCAGTGGAGGTCTGAGACTTGATGCCTCTGCGACTCCCAGCTGCACAGGGAAATTCACCGTGGCTGCAGTAGGAAGAAAAGGTAGATCCAATGCTACCTATCTGGAGTGTGGCCACTGAGAGTCTAATACTAGCTGTGGACCGCTGCGGGTCTGTTGAAAGTTTTAAAGGTCCATCATGAAATGAGAAAAATAATAAGAATGTATATGCGTTTATATGTGCATATATGTATACACACATTTGTAAAAAAAGGGTATGTTTTGGTAAGAACTATCTTTATGCATTATGTCTGTGACAGAGGTTGCTAATTGCTTCCCAGCATCCATTCTCCCCTTTCTTCTTCGAGATCACCCCCTAAAGATGTATGCCCAACACTGTCTTGGCACCACCCCCACCTCCTTCACGTAGCTAGAAAATTGTAATGCCGAGCAAGCTGATGAGGATGGCAGAGCTGCTTTCCCAGCCCTGCATTGCCTGCCTATTTTCCAACTGTCATATGAGAGACAAACTTTTGTTTGATGCACTCTATTTGTGAGTCTCTCTGTCACAGCCTATACCTATATACCTAAACTCGAACAATGTCCTTACTACCTTTGAATGTTAAAATATTTCTTTAATTAAATGACTGTGATAACAGATGGGATTTTTTAAAAGTTCTTAACTAGAGAAAAAAAGTTAACAGTCTTATACCAGTATTTAAAAAAATATTTTTGATCTGTGAAACCAAAAGTTTGAGACTCTTTGATTTTGATGGTATCTGTACCAAATAGGAGACTAAGACTCAAGGATCTGGCTTGGCCCGGGAGGACATTCTGGCATCAGCAAAGCTCTTTCATAAGCTATTATGTTCATGTGGAGTTTCTGTCATAATTGGGGCTGCTTTCAGTTTTTTAGTTGGAAAATGAAAGATGGATATGATCAGTGAAGGAGACCCTATGTCGGCTTCACGGGAGATCCTAAAAAACATTTTCAGATGTTGGCTGTCTCCATTGGACGCAGGAATAAATAGATCTACAATAGCCATTGACATTAGGGATGTCAAATATGATTGATTAATAGTGGCTACATGGAAAATATTGAGAATAGCATGATCCATTAGCAAGGTCTACCTAGGGTGAGGCAAGGGTCATATTTGCTTTAATTAAGAAATGCTTTGGAATGAATCAGAAAATCCATTTTCCTTACCTGTGTGCCACACTGCCTTTTTTGATATCTGAAATGACAAGGGGGTCTCCTGGTTTTCTACTGGATGGTGCTGTAATAATAAAGATAGACTAGTCACATTTTTATATCCACTATTCACCCACTACTATACATTTCCCATTTTATAGTAACCGTTAAAGCAAATACAATTTGTATGTAAAGATGATCAATTAGAAAATGTGCACACTACATCTTTTTGATGTAAAAATATGTTCACATTAAAGTATTTATAAGCTTTAAAACTAAAGCAGTCGCTTTAAATTTGTACCTGCAGAAAGCAATTGGAGAGCTGCATTAAGTTTAAATCTACTTTAATCTGTGGTTCTCAAGGTGGGGCGGTGAAGGGTAGATGCACCAATAGGAGAGTGTTAAAAGCAACTGGGGGCTCCTGTTAGTGATACTCATGTGTGATTCCTTCTCCCACCCTTTCTTTTACTCCTGTTGAGGGAAAGGACACCATTGTCATGGGTACGTGCTATATTACCAAGTGTTCTGGGTGGGAAAGTAGATGAGAATCACTGATTTAAAGGTTTTTTCTTTTTTTCCAGAAGGAAATCTTTTGCTAGATGTACTGTAAATCTTTAATCTTTGCTCACAAATTCATACCTAGAATGTTCTAAAGTGTTTTGGAATGTGATTATTTTATTGACAGTAGTAAATATTTGGTGTTAATTACATTTTTATAATACTCATATTCTAAACATGTTTATATAATTTTTATTGAGTTTACAGATAAAACTATTATCCTGCACAGTGGTCGGTTTTGAGCTTTATAACTCTTCTTAGGAATTTGATGAGAATGAAAAGCAATTAGTAATGAGACTACTTAATCTTCAAAATGAACTATAGTCCAAATAAATACAAAAATGTCATCTTAATGTAGGAATTTGGAAATATTTAATTTAGGAGTCCGATACTTAAAATTAACCATACTAACATTTGTAAAAAAACAATGTGCCTCCAAGAGGAGAGCTGTTTTGCCAACCTAAGCCTTTAGTGACCATTAAAAGGCCCCTACAGTAAGATTTTCTTATAAACAGTCTGATCACCTCATAATAATCACAGAACCATATCATAACCCATAATAGCATCTGAATCCCAGAAAAATGTTTATGCATAAGAACAGATGGTTTAATATCTCAATACAACATTGAAAGACAACACAAACACACACACCAATACCCTACCCACTACCTAAATTAGTTCACAGTAAATGTTAATGGTACTTCATCCAATCATTATTCTTGGCTTGTAGAAAGGAACGTAGAACATTCTATTCACTATAATTAATTCATAATTTATACTTCTACTCAGTGATATGAAATAATTCCTCAAGAGAAAACATAAACATCTAGCATTATCACTCGTGTCATATTTCAGAACTGCAAATTGTTTTGGGCATAGGACACAAAAATAAAACTTTGTTATTACCAGGAAGTACAACTTTTCTAGCATCTGCCAGTGAATTTACACAATCGTTTGCCAAGCTGAAGTAACCATCACAGAACACTCAATATTTCCCTTGGTTTGAAAAAAAATCCATGTTCCACCGAAACAAAACAATAGCACAGGCAACAAAACACAGCAAAGCCATCTCTGTCATCTTTGCAACAGAGGAAAACAGCACTGTGACTTCTTGGACAAACCCACAAAGCTTTGCAGAGAGGTTTGAAACTTCTTATGGTCTACAGCAGGAGTCCCCAACCCCTGGGCTGTGGACTCCTGTGAGGAACTGGGCCGCACAGCAGGAGGTGAGCGGCGGGTGAGTGAGCGAAGCTCCATCTGTATTTGCAGCCGCTCCCCAGTGCTAGCATCACTGCCTCAGCTCCACCTCAGGTCATCAGGCATTAGATTCTCATAGAAGCACTGGTCCCTGGTGCCAAAAAGGTTGGGGACCACTGGCCTACAGATAAGTATGGTGGCCGTTCTCACATTTACCAGATCCTTCTCCTTCTCCTTTAACCAACTCCATATCCAAGACTTGAAAGGTTCATCAGGATGGGTGCCCATTGGAGTGATGAAGCTGAACCCGTAAATGGTCCAAAATCTGTATGAGCTCTTGACAATGTCACTACCATACCTACCAGGTACATTAAATGTGGCAATGCAGGCTTTGGGGACTCAGTCATGATTTACACACCCTAGCACCATGTTTTAACTATCCACTACCTGAGAAGTCACAAATTAAGCATGCTTTGCTTGAATTATAGTACTTAAAAAATTAAATTAGTTGCCAATATATAGAAATGAGTAGATTTCATATAGATGTATAGCTTCTTTTTAAAAATTAGAGAGGCAATATGGTTGTAGTGATTAAGAACCAGGACTTGGCAGCCGGAATGCTCATGTTAGAAATCCTGACTCTACCACTAAGTAGCCATGTGCACTTGGGCACATAGTTTTAAGCACTTTCGTGTCCTTGTCTGCAAAATGGTGATGAAGATAATAATAGTGCTTACCTCATAGAATTTTTGATGCGAGGATTGAGTTTTTACACATAAAGCGACTGGACTAGTGCACATAGGATTCACTACATAGTGTTTATTGTTGCTATGATTATCCATCAACGTTGGACTCACTTTCCCACCAGCTCCTTTAGATGGAGTTTTCAGTCTCCCATTTGCCACTGTCTTCATTGGAAGGATGTCACTCACTAACTTGCCTCATCCCTGGGAGCCTCTGAGTTTGTGGCTCTTTGAGTGAGAACACAATAGCACTCACTCAGTGTTTTGACTCTGATTAAAGTTTTCTACAGAATCATTCTTTCGACATATATTTATTGAACACCAACTATGAGCTAGGCACTTCCGCTCTGGTCAACGGCCATCAAATGCCAGAGAAATTGGATCAAAAGGAGAGGCAGGGCTGGTGAAATCTCATGAGGTCACTAGGGATGAACTAATTTTCTCTCTTCTGTAAATTGATTCCAACTGGGAAGGTCATACAAACATGTCAAATGGGGAGGAGCTTACATTAAATGGGTGAAGTGTGTAGCTCAGAAAAGGAGGGCAACCAAAGGCTATTAAGTTCTGGAAAACAAATAAAAAACAAGGATAACCATTTGAAATCTCAATATAAGTTGGTCCCATGTACAGAACTGAATGCTTGACAA